TGGCATGAAAGAATAAGTAAAGCACTTTGGGCATATAGGACTACACATAGGACTCCTACCCAAGCTACACCTTATTCTCTCGTATATGGCGTAGAAGTTGTTCTACCGCTCGAAAGTCAAATTCCCTCACTAAGGATGGCTATACAAGAAGGCTTGACTGATGAAGAAAATGCAAAGTTGCGCCTTCAGGAGTTGGAAGCGCTGGATGAGAGAAGGCTCGAAGCTCAACAACACTTGGAATGCTACCAAGCACAGTTATCCAAGGCATTCAACAAGAAAGTCCGCCCAAGGTCTTTCCAAGTCGGAGATCTCGTGCTGGCATTGCGTAGGCCTATCATTATAACTCATAAGACAAAAAGCAAGTTCCCATCAAAGTGGGATGGACCCTACGTAATACAAGAGATCTACACCAATGGCGCCTACTTAATCATGGCAGAAGACGGGTTGAAGATCGGCCCCATCAACGGCAGATTTTTGAAGCGCTACTACCCCTAAAGCAAACGGCACCAAACGCTCCTGGCCCGCAAGAGCATAAACTGTGTACGGCAAAATCATCAAAAAAAAAAAAAAAAAACCATCACTCATTTGAACTACGTCATGACTTGATCCCTCCTCAACCAAGGGTACGCAGGCAACTTGAAACTTCAAAACTTCAAGTACAGTCACATCATCAAAATAAAAAAGAAATAAATAAAAAAAAAAAGGAAAAAAAACACATCTTGGTGATGTATATGTTTTATCTGTATTTAGCACAATACACTGAATAAAATAAAGCATGTTCATTGATCTCCGAGAAATTACAAGTGTGTACAAAAAAAAAAAAAAAAAAAAAAAAAAAAAGATGAAGCTTTCACAAAGGATGTGTACGTGAAGCCCCACTACGTGGCAACACTCTCGGAGCAGGAGGCATCGGAGCAGAAGGCATCGGAGCAAGAGGCATCGGAGATAGAGCATTCGAGGCCTCAATACTTGGCGGAACGCTGGATGACCCAGGAAAAAGGTGTCTCTGGAAGAAAGACGCAAGCCTTTGACGGTCACTTTGCATTCGACCTTGAGATTCTTGCATCTCATCAAGCTTCCTCTTCATGCCCGACGAATAGTTATTTGCAAGCACATGCAAACTTCTATTCTCGTACTTAAGCTGTTTAATCTCCTGCTTAAGATCTTCCACCTCTGCCATCAATGATTCCACTTGACGAGACCGAGCAAGCAGGCGTTGGCCCATGTTGGACACAGAGCTCGCACACTGAACACTGAGAGCGAGGGACTCTTGAACGGCCATCTCATCGGACCGTCCTGAAAGCAGCCTACTATCTTTTGGTGTGAGGAGGTTCCTAGCTACTATTGTAGCTGTTGTTGCATTCTGCATCACTGAGTCTTCACCTGTAAGAGGACCGTTAGAAGATAAGAAAGACGGGCACCATACATTACCTTGACGCGGCGCAACCGAATCACTGCTGAGACTCAATTCTAAGCTAAGGTTCGATGGGTTAGCCATTTTTCAAAGGTGTTAAAAGAGATGGGTGGATGGAGTTAAAACTCAAAAGGCCGGAGATGATTTTCAGGAATGAGCAACCTTCAAAGTGTGCATGTTAGAGGTGATCAATACCTCTATAAAAATCAAAGAGGCGTTGATTCAGAAATCGAAGGGCCGCTTATTCAAAAGTGAAGAGACATCGCTCTGCAAATCTCAAAAGCTGGATTTTCCAGCGTAAGTTGGCGACGCTTTCTCAGCTTTTCAGAGCACGGGTGCCACTTTGTCAAAAGATCACGTGGAGGTCATCATCGCAGCTACACATCTTTAGCCGACAAGCGCGAAGTTCGGTGGCGCTTTCTCTGCTTTTCAGAAAACGCGTGCAGCTTTGTCAAAAGAGGCGCTCGTTCAGAAATCGAAGAGGCGTCGTTCAGAAATAAAAAAGGTGTATTCAAAGATCGAAGAGTCGTCACTATTTCAAAAAGCCGGATTTGCGGGATCAAAAACGTTTGTCGACAAGGGTAAAAGAACAGTACCACCACTTGCTATTGAGAAATCCCTATATATGTCGACCTTCATTTTTATGGCAAGGCAGACCTGCAAACAAAAAAAAAAAAAAAAATGCCCAACTCTTCCTCACCTCCGAGAGTACACTCCCAGCAAAGCATCTCAAAATGCTCAGTTTTCTTCCTCTCCGGGAATGCCTTTGCAAACAAATGACACCAAGGCAAAAGTATCTCATATCATCAAGGGTGAAAGCAAAGGTATCTCATATCATGTTTTTCCCCTATCTTTTCCTTTGCCCTTGTTCTCACCTGCCAAGACAAGGACAGAGAAAGCAATATGTCGGAACCTCCACTCAAACTTGCGCTGCCACCAAGAAGTGATGGTCCATTCAAATGCAAGGTTTGCATTCAACTCCTGCATCAGGAACAAATACTACAAGAGAAGATGCTAAACCTGCATAAGGAAATACCACTTCTGCAAAGGGGAGCAAGTAAGGCAAGTGAAAATGATACATTGAAGCATGTGGAGACAAGCTGCAACTGCATATGCTGAGCTATCCTCTAACCCTCTTCAATACGAATTGGAGAGATTGAACAAAGAAACAGAAAAAAAGGAGTAAGCTCAGACCTTCGGAGGAGACCAAAAGAATCCTGCTGCCCAGTTCAAGAGTAGCACAAAGGAAAATCAACGAGTGGAGGAGACCAAAAGAATCCTGCACCCAGTTCAAGAGTAAGCCTGCGGAAAATCAACGATTGGAGGAAACCAGAAAATCTTCCAGTCGAACTCAAGATCAAGCCTCAATGGCCCTTGAAGAAATTTCCAGCCCAATTCAAGATCAAGCCTCGACGGCCCTTGGGTTGACATCTACATTAAGGGACTTCAAAACGCATCTTCTACACGTGTTAAGCACATGTCTACGACGCGCCTTGAAGTGGGGGCATTTGTAGACATCGAAATTTCAGTAAAACAAATGTTCACCAATGCATTAAAGTTTTGACGTGTCAAGGCATACATGGCATACGCCACGTATTGTACAAATTGTACACGTGGCGTGTGACTCAACAAAATAGGAAGAAATACCCTTGAAGGATTAAACAAGTTTTTCTTCTCATTTTGGGCAATGACAAGGCAAGTACATTTCAATCCATTGAGGATCAAAACAAGTTTTTCTTCTCATGTTGGGCAATGACAAGGCAAGCATACTTCAATCCATTACGGATCAAAGCAAGTTTTTCTCATTTGGGCAATGACAAAGCATACACCACTTCAAGTTTAAAATGGTATTAAGTGGGAAATTAGGCCATAAGTTACACCACTTCAATTTCAATATTGCATTAAGTGGGAAAATTAGGCAATGGTGCTTGGAAAAAAAAATATTTTGTGGTGGTGATTCATTCTCAAAGCCTATAAATAGGCTTCTCCATCAAGGTATCAAGCATCAACCAATTCACAAATACATTTCTCAACACACCAAAACCTTGAAGCCTTAGAGTTCTAAAGCTCTCAAGAAAATCCCGAAGGATCAAGAAAGCACTCTTCGTTCTTCATCAAATCCTCCTTCAAGATCAAGCCCCAACGGTCCTTGAAGAACTTCCACCAACTCAAGATCAAGCCCCGACGGCCCTTGAAGAAAGTGTTCATCCGTTCATCCTAAGCTCAAGCCCCAACGACCCTTTGGATCAACAACCTCAACAAATCTACACATCCAACCGTTCTTCAAGATTAAGCCCAAAAGCCCTTGAAGATCCACTCATCCATCAACCTTCAAGATCAAGCCCAAAAGCCTTTGAAGATCCGCTCATCCATCAACCTTCAAGATCAAGCCCAAAAGCCCTTGAAGATCCGCTCATCCATCAACCTTCAAGATCAAGCCCAAAAGCCCTTGAAGAAATCCACACAACCATTATTCAAGATCAAGCCCCGACGGCCCTTGAAGAAAGTGTTCATCCGTTCATCAACTGTTCATCCTTAGATCAAGCCCCGACGGCCCTTTGGATCAACAACTCATCCACAAACCTACACCCTACGAAAATAGAATCAGAGGACCAAATTTGAGAGAGATCGTAACCCCAAAATCATCAAACCAAAAAATATTATTTTGTGCCACGTTATTCTTGTTTCTTGTTTCAAGGAATTTTTCGTGTTCACACTCATCCAAGTATCAGGCGCTACATGATTGTGTGCTTGTTTATTACCTGTAACTGATGTAATTTACACTTGTACTATAGGTCTATTGTTTTGGATTCCTATGATGAATAAGCTCATCCAACAGATGCTTCGGTGAGATCAGATTCAGCCATCGTAGCAGAGTCATAAATGGCAGTTTTGATGCAGCAAGTTGTTACATGTGCAGGCACCAACTTGATTGCTAGAGCAACAAAAGACGTGGTATTAATTCAATTGATTTTGATTGTTTGTAACAGCATGTTCCCGTAAGGAGTGGATTTAGAGGATTTGCAGTGCAGGAGTACCTTTGTATTCGTGTAGCCTACACAAGCTTGTGTTTTAGTCTAGTCAGTAAATTAGTTAGAATAGCAAAATTTGTTGCTTCACTTTTGACAATCCTTTTCTCCAAACGTTGTGTACTTTGCTCGAGGTATATTCATGATCTCTTCCTTTTGCATACCGTTATTGGTTTTCTTCAAACTAGTTGGAGCAAGCAATTTACAATTTTACATGCTCAAATCCAAATGTAGCAATGATCAAGGCTCGGTTATCCATTTGCCATTGCACCTCACGCATCATTGTGGTCTTGGGATTGAATGCAATCAAACCAAAGGTGAATAATTCAGAAAAACATTCTAAACCCCGTCAATTGTTAGGAAAACACCTTTGTTATATTGATTTTTGGAACAATATTACTTTTGAAACATGTATGTTTCTTCTGTTGGCAAGAAATTTGATTTTTGTACTTTTTATCAAGTCATACTGTGACATTCCACATCACCTAATGAGTGATCCTTGTATGTATATTCACATCTTGTTTTGGAGCTCACTGGCTTTAGAAAGGGTTTTGGGTTGGATGTGGCCTTTCACCCGGGGGGAAAGACAGAAGGGGGACGGAAGGGTTGACGTGTTGGAGGGAGACGTTCGCGGGGATTTAGGGGAGAGGATTTTCGGCAGGGACGTGCGGGTGGGTGTCCTGTGGCTGATGCATCGGTCAGAGGGTTGTTGGAGGGATGGGAGGCCATGCTGCTCTGGGATCGAGATAGAGAGACAGAGGGAGAGGGAGACCGAGCGACAGAGAGAGAGGGAGAGGGGGTACAATCAGAGAAAAGCATGGGGGCCGTCGGGATTTGAGGGGTAGGTTGATTTCCAGGGATTTCTCAAACCTTCCTTGCCTCTTCCGTCTCGCAGACCCCGCGAGAACGACGGTCTCTCCTCCATGCTATCCTCCTCTCGCCGCCGTCTCCCTTCTCTCGCCTCCGTCGTCTTACTCCTCCTTTCTCTGTCTCTAGAATCGATCGATCTATTCGAAGAGGATACACAGTTTTTTTGGGGGCGAAGATTTGATTGGGATTTTGAAATGGAAGCTCGAGGGAGCAGCAGGAGCCAGACGGAGCCTAAGAAACGCCAGAGATAGTGTTCTCGAACAGAGTTTCTCTCTCTCCTCTCTTTCTCTGCCTTCGTTTTCTGTACGCATGTGTTTGAATATTCATTAGACATGCTTTCAATTTTTCTGCAGAATCGCCGGCGGAGTTATTTGCGGAGAACAAGAACATTGCTGGGTTCGATAATGTATGCTTTTTCTTTTACATTATTGTTTTACCTTTCTTTTTTGGACGAAAGTTGGAATCTTATGGTTTTTAATTTAAAGACTAGGAATTTGAATGGTGTAGTGGAGGTTGAAGTTGTTTCCCACAATTTTATTATGAATTCTCAATGTTTGATGAATTCGGGAAGTCAATTTTCTTATCTTTTATGCAGTTATGATCGTATTAGTTGGAATTTGGATTTTCACACACGTGTAAACTGAAAAAAGAAAATAGATTTTCGTAATTCGAACCACATGGTGTGAAAAGGCTTAAGAAGAAGAAGTTAGCTCTAAACTATAGAAGCATGGAAGTTTATGTGGACCTTAGATTGTTTTGAAAAATAATTGATTGATTCAAGAAGGCAAAGAGCTTGGAACCTTAACTGTCTCATTATAATCCTTCACCAAAGTTCTGCTAATTTATGTTCTATTTATTCTGTCATCTGAAACTGAATTGCATTTGGGTGTTTGTGTTTGATGCTATTTTTTGGATGTAGGTAACTAGATTCTTATTCTCTGGGAATTGTATTCGTTTGTTCAATCTCAATATTTTACCAATATTCTCACGCTGTCCTTTGTTTTTAATCTATAATTTATTTTGTCCAATTCATGAAATTTCCTTTTTTTTTTTTTTTTTTGACGATTTAAAATAAATAGGAGCAATTTAATTATCCGGTTTGGAGGGTTTTGATCTAATTGCAGTATTTATCTGTTATATGTAGGTTTGTGAAGGTCTGTGAATAACAGTTGATGAAAAAGTTGCAGTTTCGGAAATGACTGTCAGCAATCAAGACGTGAAAAAGAAGGTTCTTTTTTCTTATTTTTGTTTCCAAATTCTTCTTCTTTTCTATTTTGTGGATAAAAGAAAAAGAATCTTTCGGCAAACAGAATGGTGTTTTTTTTATCAGATTTTGTTAATTAATTGGATTTTGTGTTTACCCCTTTGTTTCAGTCTTTTATTCATAAAATCTTCACCACAAAGGAGAAAGAAGGAAGCGGCTCTTCGAATTTCTCAGGTGAGTGTCTAATGTGTTTCTTTCTGGTTTCAATTCAATCACTTATCACCATTGTTTTCCATTTTAGAAAATCTAGAGAGAGAGAGAGAGAGAGAGAGAGAGAGAGAGAGAGAGAGATGATATTCCTTGCAATTGGGGACTCATATTATAGTTGACGTTATCTTTCTTTTTGGATACGGACTGCAGAATAGAATCCCATCTGCTTTTTGAAGGATGTGATTTACTTTTCTTTTTTTGAATGGATTTGTTCTTCTTTAACTGTTTGGAAAGATAGGGACATTGGTCCAAGTTCCAACCATATATGACATTTGCGGTCTAAAAATGGCGTTTTTGGTAAGAAAGATATTGATGACTACAGAGAGAGGGAGAGCACCATGGAAATGTAATAAAACCACCAAGCCGTTATAAATCTCTTCGATTCTCTCTCTCAGAAACTATCAAAGCACAACAACCTCTTGCTGAAAAAAAGTGAATTTGGTCCCAATTCGAAGGAAATTTTAAGCCCAGAAAAGCCTTTGTTTCTTGGTGAGTTCTCCGGCCGATTTGGAGTAGGTAATTTTGTGATTTACAGTTTATTTTGAGAAATGATTGACGGGTTTGCAGTTCATTTTTCCATTTCTAGAATTTTGCAGTTTATTTTGGGGGTTTACACTCAAATTGAGAAAGCACACATGAACGCAAAGGCTCGAGGATGTACGACAACTTGGATATGATAGGGTACAAGCTATGACATTTCTGCAAATTTAGTTTTATTTTATTTTATTTTTCATTTTAGGGGGTTTTTTAACTGTTTAGTTTTTGGGTTTTGTCTAATTTTTGTGGTCTGCTTTATAGGTTGTACTCTTTGGAATTCCAGCCTTGAGCTTCTTCTTGCCTGGTGCCTTCTCATTGAGTATTGGAGCATTAAAACACAGGTGTGTGTGTTCTGTCAATGTAAGAGGAGAACGACATAAGAACATCCGTCTTTGTATTTTTTTCTTTTTCTAACCCATCAATTTCATTTGAGTCAACCAAATAGTCCTGGCTTGCAACATATGTTGTGAAGTATTATTGTCTGAAAAATTTAAGTATGCATGTATATTTTATGTGTGCGTGCGTGCACACCTCCGCATGGTGTTAATCTCTGTGGGTCATCTATATATATGTAGACATATCTGTGTGTGTATGTGGAATGCAACTTATCGGATTTAGGTTATGCTGTGCATAGTATTATTGTCTATTGTTATCTGCGCTATACCATTTCTATGCAGGCTCTGAAAGTTGTTCATGAGCTTTATAAGCACTTTCCATAATTTAAGCAGTCTGTTTTGGGTTCTTTTTCATTAGGTCATCAGCTTCTGATTAATGGAGAAACGAGGGCCATGCCACTGAGTTTGGGTTCTTTTCTAATTTTCTGATTTTGGGGTTTTGCAGGGAGTGCTGATGTACTGATTTGCTGGGATTTTTTTTTCCTCGCAGGATTTTTGGTCTTTGAAATGGTACGTGTTGTTTTTAATGTTTCGGTTCTCACTTGTTCTGTTCTTCGTTGCTTCGTGATTCTCATTTTTCAGTGTTGGGTGATGGAAATTTGTAAAAAATAGCTGTAGTTTTTTTTTCTGAGAAAGTTGGCATTTTTAGTTATATTTTCTGTTTAATCCCAGATGTAAGACTGTAAAATAAATGAAATGATGGTTTTCTAAAAACTCTTCTTAATTTTTTTTCTGGGATTTAAAAGCATCTTTTCCTGATTGGTTACAAGAGTTATGTTCTCTTCAATTGGTTCACCTAATTTTGATTAGTTATAAGTTTTGTCTTCTGTGCTGTAATGAGAGATTTCTGTTGGCCTTTCGGATTTCGGCATGGGAAAGTTCACTTATTTGTCTAATTAGATTGCGTATGCGTTCGATTCTTTATTTAATTCTTCTGTTTGCGTTTGGGTGGTCTAAATTTTTTATGTTTGGAATTATCCACTCAACACCAATTTGTTACATTCAGGTCTCCACTCCACATTTCATAAGTTCAAATTCTATAGTAGTCGATTCTGCAGATTGCTTCTTAGTTACACTCAGATGATAATGTATTTACAGTCCTTGACATGTTTTTAAAGTTTGCATTTTCAATGCATATATCATTAACTAAGCTTTATCAGCGGGATATCATTGCAAAATTTGTTGTGGAAAATGCTATTGCTAGATTCTGATATATCTACTTTAGTTTTAAGGATTACACATTGTTTTATGATATAAAATAGATGTTCTGCCTTGATTTGATGCGGGGGTATGCATTAGCTAACATTAATTCTGCTTAGTATTTCTCAAATTCTATGGTGTGTAAGACTCTTTCTCTGAGAATGGCTGACTGCAACTGAATATCCTTCTTCCTTTCTTCTTTATTTGAAACAGTGACAACTCAGTCAACTATGAGTAGATGTATAGCAGCCTGCTTCAGTGCTCACTTGGTAAAGTTTTTTGGTCACATAAAGGTGCTGGAATTGGGAACTTTTTGGATCTTAAATCTTTGGTTGCCTAACATTCTCTATATCGAAAGGCATCGTCTTTGTTACCACATTTTATATATTTTAGACGATGAATTTGAGTGCAGTGGACTATGAGTCAGTGAACAGGGAGTTAATTTTGTTGATGAGATTTGGTTAAATGTCTAATACACATAGGTGCTTATGTTTGTTTACATTGGTTGTAAATTCTTGCTTTCTTTTCAATTTTGTTTTATTGTAATTCTTGGTTTATGGATCTTGCATTGCTTACATGACATGGTTATATTTCAGTGTTTGTGAGATGTCGAATTGTGTGTTTGTGGCTTAGTGAGAGTTAGATTTAGATTGTGTAGAAAATGTGGGCTTCGGAGTGTAACCCAATTAGTAATTTGGAGTGACTGAGGAGAAGTATTCTGAGCTGCAGTGGGACTTGGTGAGACCATGCTGTCGGGAGAGAGTGAGCGAGCAGAGAGAGAAGAGAGGGAGGGAGGGAGAGAGATAGGGATTTGGTGAGAGGAAGAGAGAGGAGGGCTGCGAATTTTGACTCGGGGAGAGATGACTGCCTGTTGCTTCGGTCAGAGCGTCGTTGGGGGAGGAGGACAGAGGGACTGACAGGTTGGAGAGAAGTGGGAGCTAGGGGTTTCGACTCAGTGAGATTGTGAGAGAGTGGAGGATGGCAGAGACAGATGAGAGGGAGCTGGGCGTGGGAATTGCAGAGAGAGAAAGAGAACTCAGAAGATATTTGTTTTGTTGAGAGCTGACAAGAAAAGGGGAGAAACAATGAAAAAGTGACAGAATCTGAGAATCTGAAGTAAAAAATGATTAGTGGGGTTTTAGCTTCTGGCACTTTCTTCCCTGCTTTCTAAACCCATTTTTCTCTGCACCCCTTCAAACTCTAGAAGTGTTTACACAGATTGGAGCTCAAAAGCGCCAGATTTTATGGAACAAATGGTCTCAGAGAAGCTGATTACACTGCACAGTAGCAGCACAGGACCTGGTGGGCCTGGATTTGGTATTGTTCTTACCTCTATTTCTTCAATTTTTTGTAATTTCTTTTACATGCAATCTCTGTGCTTGCTGTTGAAATGAATATGGTGGTGGAAACTGTTGTTTTATATGAATTGGGGTTTTCGCTAAATTAATAAAGATCAAATCTTTGTGGCTCTTTGTTGTTTATCTCAACCTTGCTTCGCCCTCAGCCACTTGAAGATGACGTGGTCCTGATAGTCGGTCACTTCCGCGACAGTTCCGAACAAAGGATTCAGTTCCCAAGCTCCGACGATTGTGTCTGGCAAAGAGAATTCAGGAAGAGTGGAAGATCCTGGAGAAGGATTTGCCAGGCGAGTTCTTTTGTTTTTTATTTTGAATTTCCTTTTAAATAATTGTTTTGAATTAATGGTAGTGAAGTTTTCCCATACTCAGCCTATTCATTTTTATCAAATATTTTGCACCGACTATTTCATGATGCTGACTGCTGTAATTAATTTGGTTTTGTACTGAAAGTTGGAGTTGAGAATATATGGAATATAGTTGTTGGATTGGTGTCTGTACTATAGAAACTTAGGTGTGCTTACCTCCTTTTCATTGACATCCACAGTTTAATATTTGTTAGAGCTTATGAGACGCCGTTCAAGTCGGACCATTGGTGAATGCCTAAACTTTTGTTCTTAAATGGATTCATCAACTCAATTTTGTCGTTAATTTTTGTTTTGAGTCCGTTTTCCTTGCTGCTGTTGTGTTAGGATTTTAAGCTCAATCGTTCAGGCATGACACATTTGCAGTGGGAAGTCATAAGCATAATTCATTTTTCTTAAATTAGACTCAAGATTCTTATGTGCATTATACTTCCGTTTTACGAATTTAATTGGCTAAGCCTTAATGATGTTGTTGATGAATCTTCACGAAAGTCCGTTTCTCTTTTAATCATTGACTAATTTTTTTCTTCGTTGGCAGTAGAGGCGAAAGGTTCTTGTGATTTGAATCGAATATAAACTAGTCGAGGCGAAAGTATATGTGCTGTATGCACAAATGCATATAAACTAGTAGAATCTATATATACATGATTTGATATGTTAGTGAGGATTCGAGTCACAAATGCACAAATGCAAAACAATGGCATTTAAGCTAGTTGGTTAGTGAGGATTCGAGTCATTAAGGCGCCATCTGTCTTTATTTGAAATCTGAATTCATTGAATGATGAATGAGGTTGTAGTGTGAGAGAAATTGAGAAAGTAAAGAAAAGATGGAAGATGAAGCTACAATTATGTGACAGACAATAATGATGGATCAATTCATCTATGTTGGTTTATTAAACTTGGTAATGGAATTGCAAATCAAGTATATCTTAGGTTCTTAGTTGCATACCCTCCTTCCCACAACTATTATATTGTCTCTTGATTGGATGAATTTTTATAATTTTCTAGATCTATGGTTACAATGCTTTTTATAATTTCCTAGATTTATCATTTTAGTTTGTTCATGATTTGTTGATTTTTTTTAAGGTTAAATGTGTTTTATTCGAGTAGTTAAGGTTGATGCATTCAAGTTCCGTAGCAACGAGCGGACATTTTTGTCTAGTTTAAAACAAATAATAAATCCTAAGTGTATAGATTTCATCCAACTTTATGCATGCGCTACAAGTCAACAAATAGTGTATTGTCTAAACTAATAGGAATAGGGGTGGGTTGGAAAAACCGAAAACCGAAAAAAACCGGATCGAAAATCGGACCGAAACCGAAAAAACCGAAAAAAAAAAAAACCGAACCGAATTGGTTGAACCAAACCGAATCGAATAGTGTCTGGTTAGGTTTCGGTTTCTAGGGTTCAGAAACCGAACCGAACCGAACCGAAGTATTCAAAACGATGTCGTTTTATGCCTAATTCTAAAACGCCACCGTTTTATGCCTAATTCTAAAACGTAAAACCTAAACCTAGGGTCTTCTTCATCCGCTCTCAGTCTCTCCGTCTCCTCTCTCGGTCTCGCCTCGCTCTCAGCCATTTTCTCGGTCTCGCCTCACTCTCAGTCTCTCCGCTCTCGGTCTTCTTCATCCTCTCTCAGCCTCATCTCTCTCACAGACTCTGTCAATCTCATTCTCTCTCAAGGCTTAAGCTCACTGTGACCATTCTCATTCCCAATTCATCCTCTCTCAAGCTCTCGCTGAGTCGCTGTGACCATTCTCATTCCCAGCAAAAGGTTAGTGACTCTCACTCTCACGTTTTATTTTCTGCTCTACATTCAAACCAAACCTCTAAATCTCGAGTCTTAAACAGGTCAGAGCACTGGAAGTGGAAGCTCGAGTCGTAAACAGGTCAGAGCACTCTGACATCAACAATTAGCAGTGGGCGTCGGGCGAGTTATCATTAGAAGTGACTCAGGTGCTTCAAAAATTCTCTATTATTTCTTGTTTGAAAACTTCGATTGAAACCCATCTGTTTCCCCCAATTCATGTCTTCATTCAATTTGTTTAAAATTAGGGTTTTTCTTCCATTTTTTTAAAATACATGATTGTATTGAATTTTGGTGAAATTTTAATCCAAAGAACAAAGAGGGAAAAGATCTAATTGCTTGAAATTATGAAAACAGACCCTAATTTTGTAAAATTGTAACTAAAGTAAGGATTTTTATTATGTTCATCATTTGAATTGTCTGTAGGCTAAGATATATCATATGCTTGTTTTGGTTCTCTGCACTCTGCAGATTTGTGTGAGTTCTACTTCGGATATATCATATGCTTGTTACGATGGACCTTGTTGGTTCTCTGCACTCTGCACTATGTAGGCTAAGATATATCATATGGTTGTTACGATGGACCTTGTTGGTTTCATTTTACATTTTTGGGAATGGCTCCAAAATGCCACCCCTACTCCAAGGTATCAGACACAATGTGATTTCACAGTATTCAATATATTTTGAAGGAAGATATGGAAAAACTGTGTCCAATTAAAAAGTAGAAGATCCCCCCAAATGAAAGGACTAGAAGGGACAAGTTTCCTTCATGTCTAATCTTCCACTTCTAATACCCTAAAAATGAAAAATCATACACCAACCTTCAATATACCTTGAATTTTATGAGTTATCCATTCCAATTCAATTGGAGACAACAAGCAATGCCAAAAGTCTTAGAACTTATAACATAAAGCTATGTTAAAGACTTGCTTCATAAACTAAATGAATCATGCACATAAATGCTGCTGGAAGTATAGTCAAACATGCACTCGAAATAATCCAACCAAGGATCCATATTGATTTCCTCAAGTTTCAGTATACTAAAACAAAAGAACCTCGTTTATGTATGGATTATCCACTCCAATCCTATTTTAATTACATGCTAAGTCGCATGCTTGCTTTACATCATGTTGTTTCATTTTTTATTTGTATGTAGAAATGGCAAGTGGAAACTCAAACAAAGGTGCTATGTTGCCTGCCTAGGCCGCCTAAGCGTTGAGCTTGAGGACTTGGAAATTGGAAGACTTGATTTATGATAGTAGTACCACTTCAAATGTAGATGTGTAAAATTGATTTCATACTTGTAGGTTTTCATGTGGATGACTATGAAGAAGTGATTTTGAATATGAACTTTCATATTTCCATTTTTTTTTCAATTTTGGAGGAAAAAAAAAAAAAAACCGAAACCGAACCAAGAAAAACCGAACCGAGAAAAACCGAAAAAAATTGAACCGAACCGAACCGAAATTTCAGTTCGGTTTCGGTTTTAAGAAAAAACCGAACCGTTATAAACCGAACCCAGCCCTAAGTGGGAATACATTACCACTTGAATTGTGGAAACTTATAAGCCCTGTATAATTGAGGGTTTTTATAACAAATAGTCATTGAAATTGACCTATCCCATCAAGATGGTTATTGAAATTGAAATTCAATTGATGTAGTCTCTGAAAATAGTTATCGCAAATTAATATGGTATTTTCATCACTATTCCTTTAAAAATTTTGTTATTTGTTGATGTAGCAAATAACGAGGTCTTACAAATCCAATTAAATATTGCCATATGGATTAAAATATTTAAATAAAAAAATTATTTTCATATAATTAAAAACTTGAAAAAAAAAAAAAAAACAAGAAGAAGAAGAAGAAGAAGGGCCATAGCACGACACCACAACCGCCCCCCGCGCTAGATTCAAAGCTCCAATTTATCGAACGAGATGAGGAAGCCATAATAGAAAGCTTGGAACGCCGTAACCCAAATCCAAGTCCTACCCAGGTGGTGAATTCGCCGGGTTTTCAGAACTGGGTAATGGACGAAAGTAGCGAAACCAGACCGGAAATCCCGACGAGCTTTTCGCATTGTTCAAGCGGAATCGAATTTGTCACCGAATTTGAGTTTATTCCCATTTTTTTTGGGTTCTCGGATTCGATCTCAATGGAGGCGTTGATGGAGCTCTCGGCCTGATTGCGTAGCACCCGGTGCAATTCACCGAGATGCCATTACCACGTCTGCACAGAGCTTAGCGGAAGAAGATGAAAGATCAATTTTTTTCTTTCAAGTTTTTAATTGTATGAAAACGATATTTGTTTTTTATTTAAATATTTTAATCCATATGGTAATATTTAATTGAACTTGTGAGATCCAGTTATGTGCTACAACACATAACATAATGTTTAATCGAATAGTGACATAAAGACCACGTTGATTTGCAATATCCATTTTTAGGGATTACATTGATTGATTTTCAATTTCAAGAACCATCTTGATGGGATGGGTCAATTTTAGAGATCATTTGTGATAAAAATTCTATAATTAAAGATGTGGTTATATTTTGGTCACCTATCATACGTCTGACAGTTAATTGTAGGCTCACCTTTCTTGTGCCATGAACTGGCAGATAAACTGGAGAAAGATAACCCAAATATATATTTTTTTGTTTTTGAATAAACTATATTATCTATATTAAGGAGGACGGGGTAGGCTTAAGGTCAGAATGGACTAACAATAATATGGTTCAAATTCACCTTTGGTGAAAATAGAACTTAAAACATCATACTTACAAGTAAAGAGAAATTACCACTAGAGCGTAGAACTAAGTAACAAATTTTTATTTTTTTTTTTAACAAATGATATTATAAAACTTGAGCTAACCTAGGATTTTTACTTACAAATGAAAAGGAATACCATTAGATTGAAGGAAGTGGCCCCAAATATTACATTACTTGAAAAAGAAACAATCTTCATGGCATCTATTGTTAGAAAGTTGAAATTTATTTCAATTGCCATAAATTTAGGAGCCCCTTTAGTTTTAATAATAAAAAAAACTCTTATTTTCTTTAAACTTTATATAAAATGTTGAGTTGGAAATTTGAGATCAGATCATTTTCCTAAGGATCTTAGGGTCCCATGATCTCATTCGTTCATTGTACATTATGCCGTCAGAAATTTTTTCAAAATTTAAAATTTAAAATTAAATATGAATAGTAACTAACGAAAACTGACCGCACAATATACGATGAATGAGTGAGATCACAGAATCCCTGGGATCATTAGGAAAAGGATCCTCTCAAATGTTATAGATAAAGGTTGCAGCACATTAATCAAAATTTGAAGCTTTTTAATTAAAAATTGAAATCCCACAATGTTTAATTAATAAAATGTAAAATTTGAGCGCTCAAATTTAATTTTATTGTAAAAATATATCATTGTAAAAAAAATATAAAACATAAAAACAATTTCTCCCCGAAAAGATAAATCTGTTTGGTGGAAAAGAAAGCAATAATATTAACACTGATGCACTCCCACTCCCACGCATTGATTCTTCCAGTACCAAATTTCCACAAGTAATCTCCCCAATTCATGAAATTCCAATTTTAATGATATATTTAACCTTTTGTAAAATGACTTTTGAAACCCTAACCAAATACATTATTATCTTTTTTTTTATTGGCCAAAATAAAATAAATTTAACATTTTGTTTCCAATTTTTTTATTTTAAAAACACTGTTATCTTTATTATGGAGGATAAGTCCCAAAAAACAAAGAGAGATTTGAGGAGAAGGATATGAGAAGCTGTGAAAAAAAATGGCGGATGCAATCAACACACTAGTTCTAGTTGCTTCTTTGTTAAAATTAGAAGAAAAAACAAGACAAAAATTGAAAATTAGAAGGAAAGCAAAGAGCCATGCCCACCCCGTCCAATCTGACGGCAACCATCCTCCACCATTTTGGGGTCTCATCCCCAACCTAATCTTTTCTTTTCTCCATCTTAATTGAACCCATAAATAAACAAACTCAACATCAACCTAAATCGTCCTTACCAGTCCAGAAACGACGATCGATTCGACCGAGAATGTCACTCATTTTCCTCGTTTCCAGAGTGAAAAAGTTGGCTGGCGGTGGGAAGGGGGTTGCCATTGAATTGGGTCAGGTGGTGTGGTTTTGAATTTCATTTTTTGTTTTCTGTAGGAAAATAGTTGAAAAAATGTATCAAGGACGTTCTAGGAATAATCGATGGTGCAAACAGAGTATTAGGTGTTTTTAACTTTTTATGGCTTGTGAGAATATAAAGTGGGTGATAAGATAGCATTGATGGGTGGGTGTAGTCACACTTTTTATTTATGCAAAATAAAGCCAAGCCCACCGATGAACAATGATTTTTGGGGGTACAAGCGTCATAAAAATAATTGGACAGAAATGCCCATCAAATAAAAAACTTCAAAAGCAATCCAAAAATAATACATTAAATGTGGTCGGGATATTTTCGTCATTTTAATTATTATTTTATAATTAGCATCTTACAATAGGCTGGCAATAATGTGATTCAATCAATTGTTTATTAAATATATTTTTTTTTTATTTTAAAGCACGTTTAAAACATTTTAAGAGGCATGTAATACCCGTTATAAAAAAGATATTTCTCACGCGCATAATAATGTAATTAAATTAGTTGTCAAATGATTTTTTTTTTTGAACAAACGATATTATCTACACTAATGAGGAGGGAGTGGGCTTAGCTTCATAATGAACTAGCAATAATTGAAATCAGTTATTTATTAAATATTATTTTCTCTATTCTTAATGTAAATTCAATAGAGAATGATTTTATTATGTGGATTCAGCTGCTTTAATTGATTATTCTTTTACTTCAAATATTTGACTTTCCTTTTGTCAATTTACGCATATAAATACATTTAAAATGTGTAAGTCACGCGTAACATACTGTGATTAAAAAAATGTCTTCTGCACGCGCGTGAGCGCATGAAGGCTAGTACAAAAATATATGTAGGGGTGGACGATAATTGGTTTTCAACTTTTGACTTCCTCTTTACAAGTTCTTTATCTTTTGGTACGAAAAAAAAATCTCTTGTTCGTTTCGTAAACTTATGGTGAAATACTAAAATGGTGCTTAGGCTCACTAATATGGAGTTTAACTAATTACAAGTTTTGAGAATTCAACATAGTCAATCATGTTCATTAAAAAAAACGAGAGTTGAAAAGTCTGAAACTTGCAGATGACTTATTTTGTATGTAAAACTTAACGGAGTTTGAGTGAAGTGACAAGTTAATGATTTTTTGAAACTTGATACGTCAAATCGCATTT